GTCAGCTTATGAGTCTCACAAGCATCCTATTCTTATGAATCACTTCTTATTTATCCCTTTTCAGCCTCTGGCTGAATTCGTTCTGTGCTATTTGGAGAACAGGAGCTCCTCAGAGCGCCCGAAACACCACCTAGTGGTTTCAACTGGGTACAGACTATAGAAATGATGATTCGATGTGTCAAGACAGGGAACCAGGGGAACCATGGCAATCAACATGGGTTTTCACAGAAAGGTAGCAGGTGTATTTGGAGATGTAAAAGGGATCTTTTGGTTGGTACATGTGACAAGGGGTGTGATATGTTAAGAGGAAGAAATTTTACCTTTTGGGTTGCTTCTGACAGGATTTGGCAATCTATACTCATCTTCCTAATTCTGAGAGTTTTCTTCTACATTCTGTGTGTATCCCTGTTAAAATTCAAGTCTGTAGACTTACACTTTTTAATTAATGCAGACATATTTTTAGCATCATCAACCTTAAGAATAATACTTTATTGTACCTGTGTTTTCTAAAAGTTAGTAAGTTCACTTTATATTTGTTGTAAAATTTGTCAGCAAGAAAATTAACCCCTTATTGTCAGACTTTTGCCAGCCTGATGTCCTTGAAGCATGACTATTGTCTGCTCCTAAATGAGAAAAATTAAGATAGATTTTTAAAAAGCTGTAAATTAAACAGTCAGGAATGTGGGAAATCCAAGACGACCACTTGGCTTTTCCTGGCTCCCTGGCAAACCCCATTCTTCATTTAATGGGTTAAAGCCTTTTTTGGCTACAAGACTGGTATCCTCACAGTGAAAACAGAATGATTAAAAATGTGTTTTTCACTTGAGATATACTTTGACTGTTTTTAGCAATCAAGGTACCTGCCTTATTGAAAAAATTATACAGGCCTATGTGATCAATCTGGCAGTCTTATTTTGTGAACAGATTACTCTTAATTTGGCTATATTTGATAAAAGTGAGGGTAATTTTAGAGAAAAAAATTGTTTTAATAGGTATAACATTTTAGTTTTGCTACTTGAGGTATGTATCTACTGTCTGAAACTTTTCAAATAGTTCTTTGTTGCTATGTTATATTGTTATAAAGCTTAAATGAGTTATTAAGAAGGTATTCTAAGCTTGTTTCTGAAGCTGGTCACTGATTCTAAGCTTGTTTCTGAAGCTGGTCTTTGGATTGAGACTAGATGCCTATAGTCTATTACTGGGGGATTATACATACTATCATTTAGAGGACGGTGTCCAACCTAGATGAAAGGCCTCTTATCAGTTTTCTTAAGTATATGATATACAAGGAAACTGATGGGAATCATTTTCCAAGACTTAAGGTCCTGCCTGCCTGCTAAGTCGCTTCAGTCGTGTCCAACTCTGTGCGATAATGGGGACTGTAGCCCACCAGACTCCTCTGTCCAGGGGATTCTCCAGGCAAGAATACTGGCGTGGGTTGCCATGCCTTCCTCCAGGGGATCTTCCCAACCCAGGGATGGAAACAAGGTCTCCCACATTGCAGGCAGATTCTTTACCAGCTGAGTCACCAGGGAAGTCCAAGATTAATGGATGGGTAGACTATTCCTTTTCCAGGGGAACTTCCTGATCCAGGAATCAAACTAGTGTCTTCTGCATTGCAGGCGGATTCTTTACCAGCTGAAGCTACCAGGGAAGCTCAAGACTAAAGTTACTTCCTCCTAATTACTTGAAGTGCCCAGGGGAGGACTTCCTGAGCCCTGATGTCAGTCTTCCCCTCCCTCCAACCCTTATAAGCGCTGATCCTTTATTTTCCATTTTCAGCAAGACTAGTGTCTGCTCATTGTCAACACCACTGGGACACCTTCTCTACTATTCCTTTGCGGCAATTTCTCAGGGAGTAACATTTGCTTGGGAGACCACTTTGGAAGGAGCAACATCTAAAGTTGTAAGTACAAATCTTGGTTAAATTGCACAGTGGATTTTGACATGGGAAGGAAACTTTTGGATAGCTAACTTCTGCTCGAGGGCGCCCCGCTGCTGCAACAGGAGCTATCTTACAGGCAGGAGCCCTTGCTCTAGCAGAGGCTATTATCCCCGGGGAAAACACAGCCAGGGCTGAGGAATGACCTCCACTAACAGGAGCTCCTAGGTACCCCAAGTTACCCAAGGGACCCAATCCCAGCCTAGCTGGCTGAGAGCATACCAGAGCAATATGTTACCAACCAACTGCTCCTATGGTTCTTCCTCTGAGAGAACTTTCTCATAAAAATCAAGAAACAAACGTGTTTTCTTTGCTGTCTGATCTAAGTCTGGCAGAGGATAAATTGAGAGGTTTTTCTGAGGACTCTGAAATTTTCACAAAGAGGCTTACCTGGGGGGAATCTCACCTGGGGGGATTTACAGATTTTATCCCACCGCTACCCTCCTAAGAAAGAATAGCACACAGTACTGGCAGCCAGAACCCACGCTGACCGAGTGGTAGCCCAGGCCCAAGAGGACCATGCAGTACGTCAGGTGGAAAACAATGCTTTCCCTGAGGCAGATCCACATTGGAGTCACCAGATGAATTGTAATGATAGAAATAAGTAGGACCATAGCGTTAATTATTTATTAGCGGGTATGAAAAAGCTTATAGTGAAACCCATCAATTACGAAAAAAGTGAAAGAAGTCCAACAGGGGCCAGAGGGAAATCCTGCAGTTTTTCAAAGGAGATTAGTGGAAGCTTTTAAATAGTACCCAAATGTGGATCCCTCCTCTCCAGAGGGACAGGTCCTTTTGGCTATACATTTCATAACCCAGTCTGCCCCAGACTTCAGATGCAAAATTCAAAAAGCAACTGCTGGAAGGAGGAGGTCCTCAGACCTTTTGAGCAATTTGCTCTAGTTGTCTTATTTGGTTTTCAATAATAGGGATATGGCCGAAAAGGCTGACTGCGTCCAGAGAAATACACAAAAGGCCCCAAAGATGGCAGTGGCCCTGTCCACTCACAGACCATGAAAGGGAAGCCAGACTTTCTGGGTCATTTGACTGTGCAAGACTGATGGGTATCCAAAATCAATGTGCCAGGTGTGAATAGAAGGGAAACGAAGATTGTGATCAATGAGCTTTTAGAAAACATCCAGGACACTGAAAGAGAGAATGCCCCAGATGCCAATGAGTGACAGGGGGCCCTTGGCTGTTGACAGTTTCATGATCAGAAGACTGAGGTCGCCCGAAGCCAAAGGTGACTTTGCCTAGAGAGACCATCTACATAACTAATGCCAAACTTCAGGTGGTCATTGATGTGGAAGGCCACTTAGTAGAATTTCTTAGAGATACTGGTGCAACCTTCTCTGTCTTAACCTAGAGGGTTAGAAATCTTAACAACCATAAGAAATATGTAATGGAAGTGTCAGGAGAGAGACAGAGGTACACTTTCCTAAAACCCCTTTTGTACAACATCAATGGCCAGTTGTTTTTGTATTCCTTTCTGTTTGTGCCTGATTGTCCTATCTCTTTAATGGAAGATGGTATGGTAGTTTAATTGCTAAGTTGTGTTTTACTCTTGCAACTCTATGACCCTTGCCAGATTCCTCTGTCCATGGGGTTTCCCAAGCAAGAATACTGGAGAGGGATGCCATTTCCTTCTCCAGGGAATCTTCCCAACCCAGGGATCAAACCCAGGTCTTCATTACAGGTGGATTCCTTAATGATTGAGCCACCAGGCAAGTCCTATCTCTGTAATGGAAGGGACTTAACTAAATTAGGGGCCACTCTGTTTCCTGAGGGACAAGAAGCAACTCTATCACCAACTGATATTAATAGAAAATAAAGAACCAATTAACAGAGATAGAAGACTTAATGAGCCCTGAAGTATAAAATATTAAGATACTGGGCCTAATAAAAAACAAACAGATTAAGGACTTAAATGTCCCTTTTCCAGATTTAGAAACTGTTTTGGAAAAATGTTTTGGATCACCAAATCATGGTTATAATCTCTTTTAATGCTTAATTTCTTTTCATTTTTATCTTTTGTAAATCCATCCTCCAAAGTTTAAAATCTAAGAGAACTAAAAGGGTGATACTAATTGGTTTATAATTCTTACAACAGAAAAGAGACAGTCAGCCAGGTGTTTTAGTCCTTCCCCAGGCAGGCCTACATCCTGTCTCAGAAGGAAGAAGTTAATGACTCATTGTTACCTCTTACCCACTTTTAAGCATAAAACGGTAAACATCTGGAGTAGGAAATCATAGGGACAAAGTAAAGGGACATGATAGTGATTTAATAGTTAATCCCACTAGGTAATTATATGTAAAGAAAAAAGTAAGAGAGACCTCTGTAAATTAATGATCACCCAAGAAAAAAATGGAAAAATCCTGAAACAATGTGGGCTTCCTTGTCTCATAAAGCAGAGCAAGTCACTTAGCAGTATCAAAGCCAGACCTGCTTGCCAAACAACAAATCCAAGCTAACTCGCTTAGCCATAAAACCGTTTAGCAGAAGCATGAGACATGCCTTCAAACTGTAAAGCAATAGTGGAAAATAGGGCCTAAAACCTGCCCAGTGATGTGAACAAGATAATGACCCCTAGGACATGCTCTCTGCAGACACACACACACACACAAATAATTTATGGAAAGGTGACATTTCAAAGTGAATGACCGTCACTGTTCTGAGACCTGAAATAATTTCTCCATAGTTCCATGACAGTCCCAGATGCATCATATAGGGCCAAAAACTCCCCTACCCAACTTGTAGGAGGAGTTAGTGATGGAAGACCCAAAGAAAGACAAAGAAGGTGGTCTTCTCCCCTCCTCTATCCTCCTTTGATGATGAAAATGTAACCCACTCAGTACTTGGGGCAGCACAACACTCACCTGCCAGATCCGATGCCTCACAAGCATTCTATTCTCATAAATCACTTCTTTATCACTTTGCCTCTGGCTAATCCTTTCTTGGAGCCCCCAAAACATCACCTAACTGTTTTGATTCTGATACTACATGGTTACAGGACACACTAACCAGTTTGCTCTCTCTTTCCTTCGGGACAATAGCATCATGCACCCTTGGGTAGCCATCCTGGGCTTCCTACTCCTTCTGATAGGTAAGTGAACAGGTGGGCTGTGCTTTGGAAGCCTGAGGATGGGGGAGTGTAGGGGCCGTGTGAGTGATGAGGCAGGGGAGGTGTTCTAGGGCTTTGTCAGAAGGTAATGGGGTCACCAATGAGCAAAGAACAAGGCTGAAGCCTTAAGCCAAAGAAATTGCTTAAATACTAAGACTTACAAAATCTGTGAGTGGGTTACAAGGCACGACGCTGTACAGTATGGTTTATGCCACTGCTTGTATTTAAACAAAAAAAAAATATGGAGGGGTGGGTAGGTAGATGGCTGTATATGCATGAACTGCTCATGTGTAGGTAGGAAACAGTAACAGCTGTTTTCACAGTGTAGAAGGGGATGAGAAGAAGAAATGGGGATGAGGAGGGAAGGAAAGAGTCCTTTACTGTACCATTCTGTGCTTTTTGATTTTTTTCAACTGTGGGCAACTACTTCTGTTAAAAAGAAAATATTTTAATTTCCCTACTTTTCCAGTTGTTAAGACTCTGTGCTTCCAATGCAGGGTGCAGGGGTTCCATCCTTGAATGAGTAATTGAGGTCCCACAGACCATGCTGTGTGACCAAAAAAAATTTTTTAATAAATAAAATATTTTAATTAAAAATATTCTATGAGACAGGGGGAAATTTAGGAATACACATATCCTAAATTTTAAAACAATCTCTAGAGTTGGGAATATGAGGAAATGAATTTTTTAAATTATACTTCTAGAACAAATTTTTATATTTAGCCTGTATTACCTTTGTAATCCAAAAATGATACTAAGCAAAATTAAATATTACCGGAATTCCAGTGAAAAAGCTAGACTCTTATTTTATGTATCAATGAGTGTTTTATTCCCAGAGCATTTCCCAGACTTACAGCCCAGCCCTATGATTAGTCATGAGACTCAGATTCTTTTATGGACCACTCGGACTGCATTTGCCAATGTAGGGATTTTTAAGCCACTGACTCAGGAGAGAGGTGTTTTTGTTTGTTTGTTTTTTAAGAGGCAACATTTAGTCTTTGACTGAATGTTCTCCAGTTTTTTGGTTTCACCTGGGTAAGTGGACTGTGCTTCCTTATACATTGCTCAAGAAGGGATCCCTGCTTGAATTTATCTGGTTGATCCTTAAGCCCATGATAAGCCTCAGTTTCTCCTAAAAGTGTTATAAACTCAATTTCCTAAGAATTGATTTCTAAACAGCTTAGCTTTGGCCTCCTAACCAATGATGCTTTAAGTAAAACTTCATCTCTGCTTTTTTTTTTTTTTAATTTGATTAAGAGCAAGGTTATGAGGAGATTTAATTTGAAAGAGCTATTTATTTATTTATTTTTGTTTGTTTTTGTTTTTTTCTTGAAAGAGCTATTTAAAAACTTGCAATAAAGACTTAAAATCAAAACTAAAAATGCAAAAGAGTTTTAAAAGAGATTTCAACTGAGATACTGACAATCAGGGGAGAAGAAAAGCTACATGTATGTGTTACCTATTTAATAAGCAGATACATGTCAAAAACAGAAAGAAATACACACATGTTCATGTATTACTGTAATGCCATTTATTTCAAACCTTTTGGAGAGAGATTTGGTCTTAATACCAAGAGATTGAACATATTTCTGCCCTTTATCCTGAAACTTTCTCTCAGAAATCTATCCCATTAGGAAGTAATTCTGAATACAGAAAAACATTTATATGATATTTCATCTAGAAATATATCTAGTAAATGATAATGCTGCTAAAGAATTTGTGAATGTAGAAAAATGCTTATACTAAGTTTTAAAAACTCAAGATGTTAGTCAGATGATTTCAAACCAAATAAGCTATATAAAGAAAAAACTGAAAGTAAAGTTAAAATATTGAGACCTCATGCTCTGGTTTCTCTTTATTTACAGATGGTGTAACATCTTACCTACATGTGATTGGAGTGGAGGGTCAGTCTGTCAGGCTACCCTGCTCCTATGAAGGAAAAGTCACATCCACGTGCTGGGGCCGAGGGGAATGTTCTTGGTTAGACTGCAAAAATACCATTATCAGTACTGAGGAATACAAAGTCACTGAAAGGAAGAACGAACGTTATAAGCTCAAGGGAAATATCGGTAGAAGGGATGTTTCTTTGACCATAGAGAATGCAGTCCCTTCTGACAGTGGCTTGTATTGTTGCCGTATTAAGAAATGGTTTTTCAATGATGAAAAAAACATCATAAAGTTGACTGTAAAGCCAGGTGAGCTTGTCTTCCTACTTACTTTGATCACTTGCTGTGGGTTACCCTAGATAAAGAGTTTTCTATTTGATATTAACCTCTTCTTCCTTGAATTGGGAAAGAAGAGGCTCCTATAATCTTGTTTTCTAAAAACTCTTCATAGGATAACTTGTATTTGTGTAGAATGAAGTGTTAACACTAACCTTGATTCAAGACCATAGGCTAGAGAAACTTCCCACTCAGCAAAATATCTTCTAAGGCAGTGCTTTAGGAGTGCTAATTGATTAATGAAAAAGAATTCACTGTTCCACTGAGATACAGTGAACATTTTTATGGAGCTGAATTTATTCCACTTAAAGAACTGCCCTTTCCTCTGAGATTATTTCTTAGAAGAATTTTTAAATGTCCTTTCCTAACATTTTAGGACTTATAGAGAATTTCACACATATAAGATAGGTAATATAATGCCTGGTCAAGTATTTGTATAATTTGGCTTTAACAGGGGTCAATTCAATCTTGTTGCATATATATTGTATGAGCCTTTATACTATAGAGTTTTATCCCCTCCTCTTGCCATGTCTTGGGTTTTATGAAGCACATTTCACACCATATCACTAAATTAGTCAGATGAGTCACTCAGTTGTGTCCGACTCTTTGCAACCCCATGAACCACAGCACGCCAGGCCTCCCTGTCCATACCAACTCCCAGAGTTTACCCAAGCTCATGTCCATTGAGTCAGTGATGCCATCCAACCATCTCATCCTCTGTCATCCCCTTCTCCTCCTGCCCTCAATCTTTCCCAGCATCAGGGTCTTTTCCAATGAGTCAGCTCTTCGCATCAGGTGGCCAAAGTATTGGAGTTTCAGCTTCAACATCAGTCCTTCCAATGAACACCCAGGACTGATCTCCTTTAGGATGGACTGGTGCGATCCCCTTGCAGTTCAAGGGACTCCCAAGAGTCTTCTCCAACACCATAGTTCAGAAACATCAATTCTTCAGCGCTCAGCTTTCTTTATAGTCCAACTCTCACATCCATACATGACTACTGGAAAAATTAAAATGGGCTTATGTTAGTATGAAAACATTTACATCTCAATAAATGTTCACTGGTAGCTTTTAAGAATTTTGTGAAATAAAAAAATCTTGATGTAGACATCCTACTTTTTCTTACCTTTTGATGAAAGGACAAGATTCTTTAGGATTTCCTGGTTTCTGGTGCTTTTTCCTAATGTTCTCCTAACGTTCTCCCACGACACAGAACCCAATATCCAGTCCTACATAAGTTATGTCTCTTTTTTGCTTTAAATTAAGTTGATATTGCAGTCTTCCAACTTTGTATTTTGCTTGTATCCTTGATGAAGACAAGTGAAATAAGGTCAATTCTGATGCAGAAAATGCTGGCTCTAAGGAAACTGCATCTAAGAGTCAATTAACAGAAGCCTAGAGAGACTGACCATAGAGACATGTGAAAGAGAGACAGCTTTTGAAGAGATCATTTTGGAGTTGTGATATTATATGATTGGTCTAGCTGAATATATTTTTAAATGACATAGAAGGAAATTAGGGAAATTTTGTAGTGCTCAGAAATCTTTAAGAGATGAATATTTACAAATTCACTGCTCTGTCCAGAGGGAAACCAGTCCATAACTGAGCCAAAGTGACTCTCTGCCTCCAATCCAATTCTTTGCTTAAGTTTTCTTGCACTTTTGACAGGATGAACTTACTTTTCAACCTTCTGTTAAGGCTCTACCTCAGCATCTCCTTCTACCCTTAGCTTCCTAGCTTCTTCCTCAGGAAATATTTACCACCAAGGAAGACAGTTAGTTAAAAAAGCCAAGTAGACTTCCTCCTTGTTATAGTCCTTTGGTCAGATTTTTTTGCTTGCTTCCTCTTTTTTTTCTAGATTTGATTTCAAAATGAATGGAGGGGATTAGGATTGAACATTTCATCAAAACCTTTGACTATACTCTTAGACCAGGCTAGGCAATCTGTACCTCCAGGACCATATCAGATTATAAACAGGCTCAACAGTAGTTTTATAAAGTTTTATTGAAACACAGCCTCAGCTATTATATATATATGTATATATGCCTCAGTTTATAAACTGTCTATGACTGTTTTCACACTGACAGATTTGAGTAATTATCACTGAGATCACAGGGCCCCCAAAGGCTAAAATATTTACTAATGCCTTGTACATAAATACTTGTTGAAAAAATTTTTTTTCTTCTTAAAGGCAAAACTGACTAGTTTCCAAATTAAGCTGACTTGAATCCCTCAGATGAGTTTTCACAGCAGTTGTCTCATATTCAAGAGACTTGATGTTCTAATTTATATTTTGTAGAGTTGAAAATTGAGAATACTGCTTGTGGGCAAAATAGATGTCCCTTAAGAAAAAAAGTCCACATTCTTGAGTCTACCCTAAACTTTTGCTCCTGTGCCAGGCACTGTGTTTTGGCTCACTTCTAATTTCAGTTCTTTCTCTGGGTATCTCTGAGGACTTCAATAAGTGGTTTGGAATCCTACAGGATTTCTGGTTCTGAAAAGCACCAAAGTTATTACCTGTGGTTATTATCTCTCATGTAGAAAGGAACCTTAAAACATCTAGTCCACCTTCTAACCAAGTGCATAATGCATCTGTGTTATCTAGCATATGCTTTTTGTGTGAATTAATCTGCATTTAGGATGCAGGTCTTTTGGAAGGGTACTCATAAGGCTGACTGATAGAATGGCATTTCTTTGGTAAATATTCTGTTTCTTAGGAGCTACTATTTAGGTCCTAGTCATATACCACTGAGAAGACAAATGCGGCTTCAGGATCTAGATGTTTTCCCCTTACTCACAGATGTTTGTTTAGATACATAAATATAATATACGTGACTAGTTTTTACAAAGTGTTCAGCACAAATCCCAGGTATGATTGTTTTCAGGTCCATACCTCCCCAAATTTTGTCTTTTCAATGCAGCTGTTTTATTGTTGTGACCATGTCTTCACTCACCCCTCAGTCAGAGATTCTAGTTGACCAATGATGTGAACACTGGGTTCATGGGAGATAAGTGTTCATTTCTGCCTGAGGACAGTCTCCCTGGTTGCATTGATTCACCGGCTCTTATTTCCTGCAGTATGATGAATGCTTGCTCTCATGTTGATTTCTAGCTCCACCTACGACAGCAGTGAACCCCAGTATTACTACGGAAAGCACAAGGACCAGTGCTACCGAGACTCCAAGAACAGCCAACACCGCTGCTCCAACAGGGAACACCACTGTTCCAGAAAGGGACAGCACTACTATAGTAGTCACGAATCCTCATATGACAACGGGAGCCTCAACCTCTGCCCTTCCAATGCCCACTCCCACAAAGGACCCCGAGCCAGGTAAGCAGTTGTGATTCTGAGCCCAGAAGCCTTTAAAGGATTGGATATAGACCATCCTGGGCACAGTGTTAAGGCTGAGGTATAGTCTAGGGTAAGGAGTTTTAACAGGCTTCCATATCTGACTTTAGAGTTTCTGAACTCCTACCCCTGATAGCTCAGTTTGTAAAGAATCTGCCTGCAATGCAGGAGACCCTGGTTCGATTCCTGAGTTGGGAAGATCTGATGGAGAAGGGCTAGGCTACCCGCTCCAGTCTTCTTGGGCTTCCCTTGTGGCTCAGCTGTGAAGAATCTGCCTGCACTGTGGGAGACCTGGGTTCGATCTTTGGTTTGGGAAGATGCCCTGGAGAAGGGAAAGTCTACCCACCCCAGTATTCTGGCCTGGAGAATTCCATGGACTGTATAGTCCATAGGGTCATAAAGAGTCAGATGACTTAGTGACTCTCACTATCACTATACCTTGTTACATTCACCTTTTGGAAGTACAAGCATATCAGAATGAAGGGGACTTGTGACTCTTTATCTGATTCTCACAGGAATTCATTAATACAAATAAACTTGGACCACTGATCTTGGACATCTAAGGAAAGGCAGACTTGGCTGAGTTGACATGTTGTTATGAGGGAAAAGTAGAAATGCCAGAACAAGGTCAGGTAAATGAGAATCTGTCCTTACAATGAGCTGTGAATAGAGATCACTTCAGCCATTCTGAGGCCTAATCCAACACTTGAGGAGAAAATTTCAGTGAAATTAATATTTATTCTGTTTCCTGCATCAGGAAGCAGGCTAACCACTTCTTAAGTATTAATCCACCTAATTCTTATGATAACCCTATGCACTGTAGGTGTGACTCAATCCTACTTTATGTTTGTGAAGACTGAGACACAGTGTCTAAGTTCATCGTTGGGAATCATATGAATAGAAAATGGTTGAGTCTAGATTGTCCAATTAATTTGAATTTTGGGGCCTCTCTGCATTCTATCCTGATCATAGAGCATGTATTTGGATGAATTTGTCCTGATCTGACATCCTCACTGGAAGCACCTTTATACAATTACCCTGTCTTTTCAGGGTGTCAATGTCTTACACAGTTTTGCTTCTAGCACCCTTTAATATATTTATGTAGCAGGAAATGTACTCATACTGTAATAAAGTAAACATCAGATTTAAGGACTGAAGAGATTTAAAATGCACACATTTGTTTTTTCAATTCAGGGTCCAGAGTTTATACTTCAGATTTCTGTTAGATAAAAGTTTAGGTTTAATACAAATGGAGAATAATTTGACTTATGAGTGGGGAAATAGCTTGCCATTCAGAAGACCCGTTTATGATCAAATTTTCTATTTTTTGGATTAAAAAGATAGCTTTTGCCTTTGGAGATTCCCAAAGCCTCCCCAACTCTTTGACACTTTGAAGTGACTCTGGAATCTGAGAAGTAACAGAAATATCACAACCTCTTAGCCAAACACGTCTGTTGGAACACATTGATTTCCTTTCACTCACACTGAACTGTGTGTGTATTCAACTAGGAGATATCTGAAGGACTGCTCATTGAACTGAGTTTAAAAGAGAGGTTAGGTTAAAACTGGGAATTTAGAGTCATGAAAGTTTATTTTTAAGAAAGTGTTCTTCCAGGCAATACACTAGAGCATCTGTTGACTTTCTCAATATTGATTTACTTCTTAATAGTTTCTGTTTACTGAGTGCATGGATTAGTGCTCCTGGTTTGAGGAACATGAGCAAGTTATGGCCTTTGTTTAAAGCAGAGGTTCAGAAAGAAAGTCTTGGTGTATTTGCCCATAAGACCTCTGGGTGGATAAAACTCACTGAGTATTACATGTATCCTGATAATTTCCCTCGAAGTCTGAGGTTACAGTTGAGCTTTACAGGTTAGAAAGGAGGAGAACACTGAAGAAGATCCATGGCAGGGGCATCTGTCCTTACATCCATCTCCTCTCTCTGCTCTGTGACCCTGTCCATGCTGGTCACCTAAAATACTCCTGCACTGGTTGGATGTAAAATCACATGAGCCCACCTGCTCCTTCCCCCCGCTGTGTCCACAAATCTCTTCTCCATGTCTGTGTCTCTATTGCTGGCCTACAAATAAGTTCATCAGAGTCATTTTTCTACATTATCTTCTGATTAAGATGAAATGTATTTTTTTAATAAATAAACAAAAATTAAGTCATTGGAGCAGTGAAGAAAAGAAAGATGCCCACAATGACCCAAACTAGAGAAAGAAGTTAAGCAAAAAAGGTCTTTCACAGATTTCAGTTGAATAAAGACTCTGATCATCGGACTTTCTTGTTGCCCTGTTTTTAGTTCCTAAAGTGAGCCACATCCTGTTGTAGATTTGAGCATTAGGGGAAGCAAAAACAAACAAAAGGAAAAACCAAAATGCTACTACCAAAAGCAATGACTAAACAAAGAAATGAAAAATTCCACAAAAAACAAAGACTGCTAAGAACAAGAGTAAAGGTGATGTTGAAATGTGAAGTTCATGGTGAGCAAGTAAAAAGACCAATGAGAGGCAATAAGGAAAGTCCGGGTTTGGGAGCTCTTGTTCAGCCAGCACCACTAACCTGCCTGGAAATTCTGCGGTGCTCTCAGAGGAAGGGATATAAGAATCCTTTTAAGAGACAAATGGTCAACTCTGCGGATGAGATGAGATGTATGATAGAAAATAATGGAGAGATTTCAAGAAAGGAGAAAGGAAACATAGCCCTGAGAAATCCCAGTGAAGTTTTTTGGTGAGAAATGAAAGATGAGTTAAATAACACAGGATATCAGTCCCATGAAAGGAGTGACCAGAACACAACTGCAGAAGGAACCAGGGTACCAGGAACATTGCTCTGTGGCTCTTTACCAAGACTCAGACTTTGGACAGTACTTTGCCTTAATGTAACCTCAAGAACTTGGATATTCTTAGTTTATTTTCTGTGCTGGTTAATATGTGCATCTCTCTGGAAAGATGTGTAGATGGATAATTAGGAACTTGAATAAGGTCAGGAAATCCACATTGTTGTTCTTGTGAAGAGAGTGTGTTAGTGCCGGCTCCAAGGCTCTGGTCCATAGACATTTAATATCACTGGTATGAACCCAAGTTTAACTGGGTGCCCTTCTTAACATGCACAGTTGTAGGCTTTAGGGCAATTCTAAGAGTATAAAAAGTGAAATAATTCTGTCTATTGTTAAACTCTCCACATCATCATTTAGAGCAGATTTATTAATAATAATAAAATATCTATATAAATAAATAATATAATATCTATAAAATATCTATATCTATATGAGTAATACCTCATGGCCATCCTTGAATTTTTCTCTAAGAAAGTATCAAAGAGTAATTCCTGATTTTAGTTTTGTTATTATTGTTGGCAGTGGAAATTTTCCTCTGCAAATTATACATTATTCTTCCTTTCTTGTCCCTCGTTATGCCCCAAATATTTCTTGCTCCAAACATTATGAGCTAAAAGGAAATATTTGTGAAATTAATGTTTCTTTGAGCACAGAGAGTGCAGTTCTTCTTGACAGTGGCTTGCATTGCTGCAGTATTGAGAAGAGAGGGTAGTTCAATGACATAAAAAAAGTCCTAGAGTTGTGTATTAAGACACATGAGCTTGTATTCCTACTTACTTTGATCACTTGCTATGAGCTTCCATGGTTTTTTGTTTGATATAACTTCTTCTTTTATTCATAGGGAAAAAAGAGGTTCCTGTAATCTTGTTTTCTAATCACTCTTGGTATAAAATAACTTTATCTACACAAATAACTATATTTGTGTAGAATGAAGTGTTAACACTAACCTTGATTCAAGACCATAGGCTAGAGGAACTTCCCAGTCAGAAAGCTATCCCCTAAAGCAGTCCTTCAGTAGTGTTAGTTGGTTCATGAAAGAGCATTCACTGTTCCACACTGAGATATAGTAAACATTTTTATGGAGCTGAATTTATTCCACTTGAAGAACTGTCCTTTTCTCTGAGATTATTTCTTAACAGAAATTTTAAATATCCTTTCCTAACATTTTAGGACTTACAGAGAATTTCACATGTGTAAAATAGGTGATATAATGTCTGGTCAAGTATTTCTATAATTTGGCTTTAACAGGGGCCAATTCAGTCTTGTTGCACATACACTGTATAAGCCTTTATACTATATAGTTTCACCTCCTCCCTCTGCCATATGTTGGATTTTTTGAAGCACATTTCACACCGTATCACTAAATTACTTCTTTAAAAATTAAAATGGGCTTATTGCAATAAGAAAACACTTGCATCTCAATAAATGTTCACTGGTAGCTTTTAAGAGTTTTGTGAAATAAAAAAATCAGGGAAGTTTACATTGTTCCATCTTGATGTAGACATCCTACTTTTTCTTACCTTTTGATGAAAGGACAAGATTCTTCAGGATTTCCTGGTTTCTGGTACTCTTTCCTAATGAATGTTCTCCCACAAAAGTCTTCTGTTGTACCCAGGCCTACATAAGTTATGTCTCTTTTTTGCTTTAAATGAAGTTGATATTGCAGTCTTCCAACTTTGTATTCTGTGTCCTTGAGGAAGGCGAGTGAAATAAGGTCAATTATGATGCAGAGAATGACCCTAGGGAAACTGCATCTAGGAGTCAGTCAACGGAAGCCAAAGAGGCTGACCATAGAGACATGTAGGAAAGAGACAGCTTGGGAGGAGATCATTTTTGGAGTTGTGATATTATATGATTGGTCTAGCTGAATATATTTTTAAATGACATAGAAGGAAATTAGGGAAATTTTGTAGTGCTCAGAAATCTTTAAGAGATGAATATTTACAAATTCACTGCCCTGTCTAGAGGGAAACCAGTCCATAACTGAGCCAAAGTGACTCTCTGCCTCCAATCCAATTCTTTGCTTAAGTTTTCTTGCACTTTTGACAGGATGAACTTACTTTTCAACCTTCTGTTAAGGCTCTACCTCAGCATCTCCTTCTACCCTTAGCTTCCTAGCTTCTTCCTCAGGAAATATTTACCACCAAGGAAGACAGTTAGTTAAAAAAGCCAAGTAGACTTCCTCCTTGTTATAGTCCTTTGGTCAGATTTTTTTGCTTGCTTCCTCTTTTTGTTTAGATTTGATTTCAAAAAGAATGGAGGGGATTGCGGTGCACTTTTCATCAAAACCTCTGACTACACTTTTAGACCAGGGTTGGCAAATTGTAGCTCCAGGACCAGATCAGATTGTAAAACAGGCTCACCAACAGTTTTATAAATAAAATTTTATTGAAACACAGACTCAGCTATTCACTTATATACTGTTAATGGCTATTTTCACACTGACAGATCAGAGCAATTATCACTGAGATCACAGGACCCCCAGAGGCTAAAATACTTGCTAATGCCTTGTACAAAAATACTTGTTGAACACCTGTAAAAGAATGAAACTAGAACACTTTCTAACACCATACACAAAAATAAACTCAAAATGGATTAAAGATCTAAATGTAAGACCAGAAACTATAAAACTCCTAGAGGAGAACATAGGCAAAACACTCTCCGACATAAATCACAGCAGGATCCTCTATGATCCACATCCCAGAATTTTAGAAATAAAAGCAAAAATAAACAAATGGGACCTAATGAAACTTAAAAGCTTTTGCACAACAAAGGAAACCATAAACAAGGTGAAAAGACAGCCCTCAGATTGGGAGAAAATAATAGCAAACGAAGCAACAGACAAAGGATTAATCTCAAAAATATACAAGCAACTCCTCCAGCTCAACTCCAGAAAAATAAATGACCCAATCAAAAAATGGGCCAAAGAACTGAACAGACATTTCTCCAAGGAAGACATACAGATGGCTAACAAACACATGAAAAGATGCTCAACATCACTCATTATCAGAGAAATGCAAATCAAAACCACAATGAGGTACCATTACACACCAGTCAGGATGGCTGCTATCCAAAAGTCTACAAGCAATAAATGCTGGAGAGGGTGTGGAGAAAAGGGAACCCTCTAACATTGTTGGTGGGAATGCAAATTAGTACAGCCACTATGGAAAACAGTGTGGAGATTTCTTAAAAAGCTGGAAATAGAACTGCCATATGACCCAGCAATCCCACTTCTGGGCATACACACTGAGGAAACCAGATCTGAAAGAGACACGTGCACCCCAATGTTCATCGCAGCACTGTTTATAATAGCCAGGACATGGAAGCAACCTAGATGCCCATCAGCAGATGAATGGATGAGGAAGCTGTGGTACATATACACCATGGACTATTACTCAGCCATTAGAAAGAATTCATTTGAATCAGTTCTAATGAGATGGATGAAACTGGAGCCCATTATACAGAGCGAAGTAAGCCAGAAAGATAAAGATCATTACAGTATACTAACACATATATATGGAATTTAGAAAGATGGTAACGATAACCCTATATGCAAAACAGAAAAAGAGACTCAGATGTATAGAACAGACTTGTGGACTCTGAGAGAAGGCGAGGGTGGGATGTTTCAAGAGAACAGCATCGAAACACGTATATTATCTAGGGTGAAACAGATCACCAGCCCAGGTTGGGTGCATGAGACAAGTGCTCGGGCCTGGTGCACTGGGAAGACCCAGAGGGATCGGGTGGAGAGGGAGGTGGGAGGGGGGACCGGGATGGGGAATACATGTAAATCCATGGCTAATTCATTTCAATGTATGACAAAAACCACTGCAATGATGTAAAGTAATTAGCCTCCAACTAATAAAAATAAATGAAAAAAAAAATACTTGTTGAAAAAAGATTTTGTTCTTGAGATCAAAATTGGCTAGTTTCCATATTAAGCTGACTTGAATCCTTCAAATGAGTTTTCACAGCAGTTGTGTCATATTCAAGAGACTTGATGTTCTAATTTATATTTTGTAGAGTTGAAAATTGAGAATACTGCTTATAGGCAAAATAGATGTCCCTTAAGAAAAAAAGTCCACATTCTTGAGTCTACCCTAAACTTTTGCTTTTGTGCCAGGTACTGTGTTTTGGCTCACTTCTAATTTCAGTTCTTTCTCTGAGTATCTCTGAGGACTTCAATAAGTGGTTTGGAATCCTATAGGATTTCTGATTCTGGAAAGCACCAAAGTTATTACCTGTGGTTATTATCTCTCATGTAGAAAGGAACCTTAAAACATCTAGTCCACCTTCTAACCAAGTGCATAATGCATCTGTGTTATCTAGCATATGCTTTTTGTGTGAATTAATCTGCATTTAGGATGCAGGTCTTTTGGAAGGGTACTCATAAGGTTGACTGATAGAATGGCATTTCTTTGGTAATAATTCTGTTTCTTAGGAGCTACTATTTAGGTCCTAGTCATATACCACTGAGAAGACAAATGCGGCTTCAGGATCTAGATGTTTTCCCCTTACTCACAGATGTTTATTTAGATACATAAATATAATATACGTGACTAGTTTTTACAAAGTGTTCAGCACAAATCCCAGGCATCATTGCTGTTATATCCATACATCTCCAGATTTTATCCTTTCAATGCAGCTGTTTTATTGTTGTGACCATGTCTTCACTCACCCCACAGTCAGAGATTCTAGTTGACCAATGATGTGAACACTGGGTTCATGGGAGATAAGTGTTCATTTCTGCCTGAGGACAGTCTCCCTGGTTGCATTGATTCACCGGCTCTTATTTCCTGCAGTATGATGAATGCTTGCTCTCATGTTGATTTCTAGCTCCACCTACGACAGCAGTGAACCCCAGTATTACTACGGAAAGCACAAGGACCAGTGCTACCGAGACTCCAAGAACAGCCAACACCGCTGCTCCAACAGGGAACACCACTGTTCCAGAAAGGGACAGCACTACTATAGTAGTCACGAATCCTCATATGACAACAGGGGCCTCAACCTCTGCCCTTCCAATGCCCACTCCCACAAAGGACCCCAAGCCAGGTAAGCAGTTGTGATTCTGAGCCCAGAAGCCTTTAAAGGATTGGATATAGACCATCCTGGGCACAGTGTTAAGGCTGAGGTATAGTCTAGGTATAGTCTAGCCTATTAACAGGCTTCCAAATCTGGCACCACTAACTTGCCTGGAAATTCTGCGGTGCTCTCAGAGGAAGGGATATAAGAATCTTTTTAAGAGACAAATGGTCAACTCTGCGGATGAGATGAGATGTATGATAGAAAATAATGGAGAGATTTTAAGAAAGGAGAAAGGAAACATAGCCCTGAGAAATCCCAGTGAGGTTTTTTTGGTGAGAAATGAAAGATGAGTTAAATAACACGGGATATCAGTCCCATGAAAGGAGTGACCAGAACACAACTGCAGAAGGAAACAGGGTACCAGGAACATTGCTCTGTGGCTCTTTACCAAGACTCTAACTTTGGACAGTACTTTGCCTTAATGTAGCCTCAAGAACTTGGATATTCTTAGTTTATTTTCTGTGTTGGTTAATATATGCATCTCTCTGGAAAGATGTGTAGATGGATAATTAGGAACTTGAATAAGGTCAGGAAATCCAGATTGGGGTTCTTGTGAACGGACTGGCTTAATACCAGCTCCATGGCTGTGTTCCACAAACATTTAATATCACTGGTATGAACCCAAGATAACTAGATGTCCTTCTTAAGATGCATTGTTGTAGGCTTTATGGGAATTTTAAGTATATATAAAGTGAAATAATTCTGTCTTTTGTTAAGTTCTCTAGCTCATCATCTAGAACAGATTTCTCCATGACAATGAAATAGCTATATGGTAGGGTAATCCCTGATGGCCATCCTTGATTTTTTATCTAAGAAAGTGTAAAAGGGTAATTCCTGATTTTAGTTCTGTTATTTTTGTTGGTGGTGGAAATTCTCCTCCACAAATTGAATCCCATTTTCCATTCTTGTCATTACTGTAGGTTCTTCATCTTCCACCACGCAGACTGCAGGAACCCAGTCTACCTGCACACGTAAAACAAGTGTAACGCACCCACCAAGACACTCTTACACAACAGGTAACTTCAGTTTCTTTTCAGAACAGCTGGGAGATTTGAAATTTTGATAAATATTAGCACATTGTTAAGAGCACATATTCTGGATTAAGACAAGTCTGAATTGAGTGCCAGTACTGATTACTCCAATTAGCTATGCCACTAGAGCAAATATCTTACCATCTTTGAATCTGTATTTACCCTGTGGAAAATGGATTGAATGTTACTTATTCTTATGAGGCTTAACTGAGATAAAAATCTTAGGACACAGTTAAAATGTAAGTGATAGAGTGGCAATTATGATTATTACTTAGAATGTCTAGAAGTATGTACAACTGAGTATATAGGAAGCTTGTCTGACCTGAAAATATGCGCATGCGTATCCATATTTTTCTAAATTAAATGAACCAGCCTTGATTTTCAACTTATTTCTTGGCTCACTTCCCTGGACAGAGCCTTAAAAGTATTAAATCCAAACTAAACTGGTCCAAAGCAAACTAGTCACCTGTTTGCGTTTCCTCTAAGCTCCAGAGACTACACAGAGCCATGAGTCTCCCCTGCTGTCTTGTCAAGCTTTCATTCCATGTGGACACTTTGAGATGGGTTGAGGAGATGGACACCAGCATCAAAGATGCATGTGTCTCTGAGATTCTGCTATTCCACCCCTAAAGTACCCCCTATTCTCCCTAATTTGGGCAGGTCTATATTCTTTGGGATGTAAGATTTGTCTGTCTTTCCTGTGATGGAGAAAGGTAATGCTGAGTCCTGTCGTCTTTCCCAGCTAACTCTGTTACCCATGGTGGTAAATTTGGGGAGTGCCACATGTGAACCCCTTTGTAATGCAGAATTGGCTTCTGTGTCCTTGCACCTGTGAAGCATCCAAGCAAGGTCAGGCTTTGCAAGACTCCTCATGAATATCACTCATCATGCTCAGGAGTTGCTAATCTGTAGCAGACACCCAGTATGGCCTACCTTTTTCCAATCATTCAAAGACACTCTTAATTGAAAATGAACATGCAGTGGGACTCAGAATGGGACCAATTCAAATTGGGATTAGCTAATAGTTACATTTGGTTTGGAAAGTGGAATCCTTGGTGTGAACTCTTTCTAGGCGCAAAAACAAAAAGAAAGCAGATTAAAATACAGGTAAGAGCATCTGGAGCAATTGCACCCCGCACTTTCAGGCTAAGAGGAAGAACAAAGTAGGAAATGGGAAATTGTTCTCTTAAATATGTCACTAAAACCTGGTCGAGGTAGAGTTGCCCGTGTGGGACAGACATGGGAACAACTGTGTCCCCATGACTTCTGTGACTGCTGCTGTCTTGGCAGCATCTCTGAGGCCCTCTGGCCAAATCCTCACACTGCCCAAGTCACACTTGAGTGGCTTAAAGCCTCAAAAAGCAAATGGTGTTAGTCCAGAAGGAATTTTGGTCACCATATGGACTATCACCTACCTTTGCAGACAAATGTGCCAGTAAAATGTTGTACATTATCTCACTTAATTCTTCTAGGGCAGGTTTACTTCTTGCCATTGCCAGCCTGGGGAGGACCTTTAGTTCTGCTTTGGAGCCAAGCAGCTTCCAATTCAACTGCCCACCCATGGCAGCTTAAAGCTGCATGCCCATGGGCAAGTGGTTTCATTCCTCACTGCATGTTTGTAAGGCATGAAGGACATGATATTTGGAAAGTTCATTGCATGGTGTCCCCTGCTCCATTGCTCCTATTATTATATAACAACATAATAGTATAGATAGCATAGTTGATATTTTTCTAATATGCTGCTTAGCACCTTACATGCATCATCTAATGTGACTATACTCTGAAACAGGTGCTATCAACAGCTTGCAGTTCAAGGTTACCCAAGTTAGAAAATTTACATTTCCATGCATACATATGTAAATGTATATGTAAAGGACCTTAATCAAGGTCACTTTGGTAAGGGACATTGTCAACACTGAAGTCAAATTTTATCTGACTCAAATCCTTGGTGTTTTTACAACATCACCCATTCTGTAGAGTGCTTGGTATAGAATAGATACTCAGTAAAGAGAGAATTCTGTATTTGGCCTATAGTTGCTTAGGAGGGTCAACAGTATATGTTCTGTGTGACAAAAGAGATATTTCAAAACACTTGACAAAAGAGATATTTCAAAACACTATTAAAATCTGAATATTCAAAATTTTAAGACATAGTATGTATATTGATACTACCTAAAACTTTAATATAAAAACACATTATATTACAGGATAGTATGTTATATTTATGATATATGTTATCTCAGCCCCAAGGCCAATGTAGGATAACTATATACATATATATATATAGTATATATATAAATATATACAAACTATATATACACTATATTTGCCTTGGGGGCTGATGTACATGTTTTTTATAGCACTTTTGGATCAATATCTGGGCACATTGTCACATAATGTAGGAGTTGGATGCCACCTGTTTGGGATATCTTAGTGCATTTCACTAATATTTTAAATGTAAAACCAATATATCATCCATTTGCACAGGGCAGTTCTGTTCTTTGGTATGCAGTGGCTTCTGAGCACTCATTGGCAGTTTCTTAGCTGTTGTGAAAAATCTGACTACCTACCTTAAATGGTAATTTTTAACCTAGCTCTGAGAATGGGCCACTCCGACTCCTTGAAATTGTAGGTAAACTTTCTGTGAACCTGCACCTTTTCCCACAGAGACAAAAAAGGGTTTCATTTTGGAAGGGACCATGATAAAATGGTTAAGAAGCACAGGTTGCAGGTTAAATTAGTAAATGTCATTGACTTGGTATAACTCCTGTAGTGCCTACAGTATCTGGCCATATGATTATTCAACTTTTCTCATTCATTACCAGATGGCAATGTGAATATATTAGTGTTTGCAGTGAAAATTTAATATTTCTTTATAATTCTAATTAATTTTCCTTCTTGTTTAGCAGGTGGGAATGCCACTGTGATAAATTTTCCAAGTGCTGTTTGTTGTAACATTCAAACTGTAAGCATATTCCTTTCTATTTTTTTAGCTGGGTTCACTTGTATGTCTCCCTAGAAGCAAGTTACATTTAGAGATTATTATTGTAAGACTAGATTAGTCCACAGATTGATTCTTTGTAATCCATAAAACAAAGTAAAAAATGAATCTGACTCTTAAATAGGGATACTTTGTGCTCAGTCACTGGGTCATGTCTGATTTTTTGCAACCCCATGGACTATAACTTTCCAGGCTCCTCTGTCAATGGGATTGCTCAAGCAACCCCCTAGAGTGGGTTGCCATTTCCTCCTCGAGGGAATTTTTCTGACCCAGGGATTAAAGCCGCATCTTTTGAGTCTCCTGCATTGACAGGCAGGTTCTTTAGCACTGAGCCAACTGGGAAGCCCAGAGAGGCTTTAATTAATTTTAAAAAGTTTATATAGATGCACTAGTTTGTTAGAAACACCTGAAAAGCGGTATTGTACTCTACACACACACACATATACACACCCTCTACAGACTTTCTCCTGGCCAGAAAATCAGGGAAAAAAGAATGAATTAATTCAAGGATAGTGAGTAACATTATTACCAAGGAAGATTGTGATCCTTGTTAGAGAAATAACATGCCTTGAAATGATGTGGTGGAATGGGGGCAATCCCAACCCAAAATTTTATGCCAATGAAAGTGTGCTTGCTTAAATATATGCCTCTAATATTTTTTTCCAAGTTAATTGTCCTTCTAGGAAGAAATTTTGAGGCCACTGCTAAGTTTTTCCATGTATAATCCTCCCCATATGATGACTTATTAAGGCCCTAAGGTCTTGAACAACTTTATGATTCTGTAGGATGTTCTCACACATTTTCACAGTTAGCTTGAGAGAAAAATCTAAGGAGTTCTAGTCTCATGAAGTTCATCAAAGCCTCATCTTTGAAGAATTCTTTGAAGAATTTATTAATAGGACGTTTTCTTTTGGCTCCCTTGGGCGGTACAACTTTCTTTTTATTGTGTACAAATAACTCTTAGAAGCAATAAACAAAAAGAGTTTAGGTATGAAAGTAATCGTGATCATAAGTGGTGGGTAATTGCAGCACGGCCACTGTTAAGAGAAAGTCCAGCTCCAGAAAATGGGGTTATTTAGTATGAGGTCAAATGGCCTATGCTGCATACCTTAGTGACAGAGAACACCACCACAAGATTTTAATCACTCTTATGGTATGGGTACTGACTGATCTGATGGATATGGACAGAATTTGCTTATGCCTGTTAAATAGCAGAACTTCCACCATGTAAGTGACTGTTGTATTGTTATATAGTCAGATTATGCTGTATTTAAAACAGAAACAAGTATCCTAAATGATGAAATTATTCTTACCTGCCAGACAGGTATGTCTAGCAGAAAGTAAAAGCTATATCTGGGCTTCCCTGGTGGCTCAGTGGTAAAGAACCCTCCTGCTAATGTGGGAGATGTGGGTTTGACGTGGGAAGATCCACTGGAGAAGGAAGAAGCAACCCACTCCAGTATTCTTGCCTGGGAAATTCCTTGGACAGAAAAGCCTGGCAGGTATAGTCCATGAGGTTGCAAAAGAGTTGGACTCGACTTAGTAACTGAACCACAGCAACAACCAACAAGCAATACAGAAGCGAGTTCACAACAGGCAGTGGCAAAATCATGGGCTTTTTTGTGTCTTGACTCTTGAAGGTGTCATAGTGTCTCCCAGGTATCCTGAAAACCATGCAGCATATATTCTGTCCCAGTAGTAAATCCATTTCCTGAACTCTACCTTAAGGAGAGAACTGAGCAAATATGTGAAGATGTATAAGAATAGATGTTCATTGCTGCTATTTATAATCATGGAAATGTTATAAACAACCTAAATGTTCAATAATGAGATTAATTACTTAGTCAATTAAGCATGCCCACTTATGCCCATTAACAATGTTGTCACTGCAGTGTATTTACTGACATGAGAAAACAGTATCAATTGTTAAGTGAAAAAAATAATTTTTAAAATAGTGTAGGGACTTCTTTGATGGTCCAGTGGTTAAGACTCCATGCTTTTTATATAGACGTCACATGGTCACCATGAGAGTGATTAAAATCTTGTGGTGACCCCTGGTTGGGGTACTTAAACCCCACATGCTCTGTGATATGGCCAAATATATATATATATATATATATATATATATATATATATACACACACACACACACACACACACACAAAAATAAATGAAATACTGCATATGCTGTAGCATATACTGAATATGGTCACTGTTTTTGTTAATAGAAATATTGGAGAAATAAAATTCTAGAGGAGTATATTTAATGAAAAATGGTGATAATGACTTTTCTGGACGTTGGAATTATGATTGATTTTTGTTTTCCTCTCTTTATGCTGAGCCGCATATTCTAAAATGAACCTGAAGAGTTTATGTAACGTAATATTTTTTAAAATGAAGCAAAGCCTTCTTCCTATCATCCCATTTTCCATCCAACCACTTTACCCCCAACATGTAAGGTGATAACACAGCTTTTTCCTCCCAAGACACTGGCCGTTCCCCCTTTAAGCAAGGATCGCTCAGAGGCTAAGCCACTCTCTGGATTCCTCATTTTGTTCGTCAGGAACTACATAATGTACCTTTCCCAAGAACCTTATTTAATCTGCTAATGACAGAGAAACAGAGGTTCAAAGGGGTTAAATAGCTTGTCTAGTGTCACACAGCAGCTAAGTAAAGTTAAGCTGAAATTCTGGCTCCAGAGTTTAAACTCTAATGCAGGAAGAAACTTCAGACTTAATCTTTTTCTCTGCTCTTCCACTTTTTCTCTGTTAAGATACTTTCCCTGCAGGACATCTTTAGGATTAGAGTTAAGTTATGTAAAGGGTCAGACATGATGCCTGGTGTATTTTGGGGTTTACCACAAGAGGTGATTCCTTATAAGGCACACCAGGAGGCTTAAATAAAACTGTATTTTTTCCAATTGTACAGAATTTTAATTGTTAAGCAGCACCATGTATACGAGCAGCTACTTCAAGTCTACTTATAAAGAAATATATAGAATCTTGAATTCTAGTTAAAAAAAAAAAAAGAGTTCTCTAACAAAAGGCCAAATTCAATAACTGAGCACATAAATGTAATACCACCATATTAACTTATATATGAACAAAAATTGTTTTCTTTTCTAATACCATAAGAGGATTATATATGAAAATACCTTATTAATTTTAAAAAATATATGTAATTTACATATAGTAAAGCAGACTCATTTGAGCTTATAGTCTGAGTTTTGTCAAATGTATACACACCTGTAAATACTACCCCAAGAAAGATATACAACATTTCTACCATTTCCAAATACATTTTGAATTTTAAGCTGTCTTAGAACTTCCCCATATGATTATAAATTCAGATCATTTGGTTTCACCCCTCATGATCCAGAACTAACCAAATATTAATAAAGATAAATGTGTCTGGGTACAATATTTTCAAAAATGTTTTCTATCCATAAATTCTAACAAGATTTTTTTGTTTTTTGTTTTTTTTTTTGATCTGCTGATGTTTCATTAACCTGTGGTGCTGGCACATTATCCATGGATGATCGCCAATAAGGGAATCTACATTGGAATCTCTGTTATTGTCTTGGTATTATTGCTCATGGTTTTGGTATTCATGATTAGCAAAAGTAAGTCATCTCAGGACTGTGCCCACGGGGGTATTCTTGAGATAAGCTGCCTGTAGTCCTACATCTCACATGATTTCAATTTCACACAACTTCCTTGATTATTTCCTTGTTCCTTTTTAATCTTAAAACTATTTTCCCATAAAGAGAAACATATTTAAATTCTCCATAGGAGAAATTAAATATGGAGAGTTAGCGTTGGTTGGGTAGAGTTGGGATTTGGAAGTCAATAAACCAGTATAATATATAAGATCTATTCACTCCTCTTTTTCTCTTTCTCTCCAGAACCAATTTCTGTCCTTATAGGAGGTAAAATTGTTGAGGGTTTTACAGCACCCACTTAACAGAAGAAGCTCATGAGACTTTGGGAGGGTACACGATTTCAGAGCTAGAAGGAGAACAAAGGGCTTCACAAGAGTCATCCAGTGCCTCCTGGTCTCCTTCCACCAGTTCTGTGTGTGTGTACAAAACCTGTCATCTATGGGAGAAAATAATCTCTCATCTTAATTACACTGAAATATGATTGTATTAAAGTAAGCTAGGGCATATGGATGAATATACTAATCATAATAAACACAAGATACTTTATACCAAGGGGCTTATTTGACTCCTAGAGATTCAAGAAAAGTTAACCTGGAGTTATCAGAGAAGGGTCCAGATTGATTTGTTTCCTTCTTTTTTAAAACATTCTTTCTGTTAAGTTAACTTTTTTAGGCTCTGATGTCCATACAGATTTTTTTCATATTAAAGTAATAACAAATAATATGCTTGTTTGATTTTTTAAAAAATCTCGTGAACTCTTTGGCTTACAAGCTTAATTTTCTCTTCCTTTTCCCACAATTTAGAATCTCTTTGCCTGGGTAACAGGATGAGGCTACTACGGTAAGTTTGAAAGATTTTTTGTCAGTGCCTTTTGATGTTCTTACTCAGGTGAAAATGCAGAAGTTTTCTTTGTTCCTCTCCTCTTTTTCTTCTGAGCTCTCCATTTTATACTCTGGGTTTCTGAAAAATCCAGTTTATTGAGCACCTCCACTGCTGTCCGACCTTCCAGTGATGATTTTAGCATCTCTATTTCCCTGAAATTGTGCCAGAATTGCTACAGAACAGCACTTCTCACCTAACCTGTTAAAACAAGAGACTAAATTGCATTTTGTTTGATGGGCCATTTGAATGAATTGTTTGGTTTGTTATTTGACTTCATTCAGTGCCTTGTTTATTGAATTCTTATTATATTCTCTGAAGAGATGAGCAGAACAGACAGAAACATATAAATGAATAAGCAGGGAACTTATAGAACTTCCAGAGAAATACCATGGGGAATACAGAGACAGACAATAGACTTTGTGAGTGAGCCCCAAGGGAGCAGAAGGCAGCTCTGCAAAGATCTGGAGGAGGACAGCTCCAGGCTGAAGATGCACAAAGACATCTGGTGGGGCCATGCCTCCAACCCTCCATAGCTCACAGCCTTGCCCTTTATTCCACACCCAGCCTGCTCTGCTCAATTACATTAGCTGTGTGGCCTCATAGGCATTTGAATTTACAGTTGTGCAAATCTATCCTTCTGGCCAATGAAAGTTAAATCCTCTTTGTATGCATCCCTGTAGTCATATTCCCAAACACCTGTAAAGGTGGGAACCCACTACCTACTTCCAAATCCAAAGAGCCTGCTTCGTCTGGTCCAGTTTAGGCTTTAAGCAAGGTCTTTCTTTGATAAAATCCATCCCTCTTAGGCTGCCATCCATTACTCCTAGTTTCACTTCTTTGGATGTTTGTATACAGCCTTCCTTATGTATGAGTTAATCTCATGAGCCAGTCCACAGAACATGCCTTGAACAGTCCCCAGCATATTGCAAATGTTCCATAAATGCTGGATTTTTATTCCTGGTATGCCCTTTACAGCAATAAACCTGTGAGACAGTCACTTGTATTAATCTCGGGTTACAAATTGGAAAACAAGTTTAGAGATGTTAAGTGGCATCCAAGGTCACATCACACAGCAGGTAAAAGATTCCATCTTAGGTCCTTTAGAGTCCCAAACCCAGACTTTCAGGAGTTTTTGACTATCTGCTTCCAAGAATGGAAGAAAAGAAATACTCCCTATGGGCCGAAAAGTATGAAAAATAGCATCCTGTTAGTTCATTTTTGTCCTTTCACTGTTAAGGTTTTTTTTAAGGTTCACTTTTTATCTCATAATTAGAAAAGAAAATATTTATTGCAGAAAATAATGTATAATATAGACAAGCAACACAAAACACAAAGGAAAATTTCCTCATAATTTTATATTTGGAGGAGCTATATCACATTGACTTATCTTGAGCTACCAACACTTAAACTGTTTCCACAAATGTATAAGTAATTCATTTAAAGATCAGAGTTTAATGAAAATTCAGTGCATTATATATTATTTCTGGGAAGGTTTAGGTAATAAAAATTGTGACTATATATGCATTCTAAAAATGCAGCGATATCAAAACTCCACAAATGACCTTTTCATATACTTGATATATGAGTGTGCATGTTACAAAATCAGGTAACCCATGACTTTCTAAGTTTCCACATAGGACATGGTAAGATTTTTGACTCTATGATCCAGTGCAGATTTATGTGGAACAATACCATTTTATTATATCCAGTAGCTCTAATATTTTGTATACTTAGATATATATATTCACCTTAAATATAAGATATAGATGACTAAATAGATTTAATTTGACCCTCACTAAATAGTCTCAGTTCACAGTTGGAAAAACACCAGCCAAACCAGTTCCTGACCATGTTTGAGAATGTGCATCCTAGTTTAATACTTTAACTTGAAGCCTGATATTAGTCTTCTTAGATTTTTCATTTTTTTATTCTGTGATATGAGTCTCTTGACAGACACCAATTTCAGGGTTTTTTAAAATTTTATTTTAATAACTGCTGAGATTTTCCACCTCATTATTAAGACTTTCCTGCAACTTCATGTTGATAACTCTGCAAGCTTCTTTCATTCCATAGGCTGTGGAATTGGCATCTGGGAAATGCAAATACCTAGTCTCGCCTGAACATAAACAACTATGCAGCTCATACTTGAGAAGTGGTATTTTTCTCTTACTTGTGTTATTCTTTCTGCAGTATGATTCCATTGAAAGATTCTCAGATTGGAGCTTTGAAAAATGCAACCATGAAGCCTGTCCGAGCAGAAGACAATATCTACGTTATGGATGAAACTCTCTAAGTCACGGGTTGAGATCTGGTGGCCTTCTAAGGTGTTATGTCCTTCACTGCAGAAGACAGTGACCAGATATCACCATGTCAAAGTCCTTTCAAGCAGCAGGACAGTTTCTTGGTCAGTCTCCCATGGCATTCCAAGGAGTCAGGGACACTGGGTAGATTTGAGTCTAGCTCATCTGTGCACAGTCAACCTCTGTCACACAGTCCTAATTTTTTTACTAAAAGTGGCTCAGTCTTTTTGGTCATTGGAGAGCCCTCTCCAAAACATGAAATGTACTCTTTAGAATTGTACATTCTCTTTAGACCCTTTGAATCCTGTTATCCATCAAGAATTCTCATTGAGAAGACAGATAACACACTTCTACTTTGGTTAACAAACTGTCAAGAAATGAATACAACAAAATCAGCAAACCCAACTTGGGACTAAATGACTTAACATGAAAGCATCTCATGATTCTTTTCTCTATTTAAGTGACCCCAAATGTTAGATTCCTAAGTACGTTAAGGGTTTCAAATCATGGGAGTGTGCTGGTTTTTATTTACCCACTGGGAAAATAAAAGTGAGTGTGATTTTGCCATTATAGGTAGGTCTGGTTTCTCAGGGCTCTGGAACTAGAAGGCATTAAGTGCCTTCCAGGGGACCAGAATGGTATTTTAGCAGTTAGAAGAAGGTAGGGAGGTGAGTGGTCCACAGAAACACCAGGGGAAGAAAATCCATCGCCATGTGATTTACACTGTTTCTGCTACATTGGTGCTACAGTTCTAGGTGCTTATGTAAACAACTGGCAGGCTCTGATGGAATCTTAAGAATGTGGCAGGGCAGAAATAAATATAAGGAAAAAAGAGGGGCAGAGTAGCAAAAAAGGATTTCTGCCTTGGAAAAGCGTGTTTGCAAATATAGTAGTGTTGTTTGAGACTAATCCAGCATTTCCAAAACTTGTTTGAAACCCCTAAGCACAGTGACTGCTGGCATACCCAGTAGCATTCTGTGAAACAAGACCTGGGGCATGGGAGAAAGCAGGTGGTACTCAGAATTAGAGACAGAACTTGAGTTCTAATCCTAACTCACACCAGTAATATTTGGATGACATTATGATAAATCTTTCCTTATGCCTAAATTTTTAATATATTTTAAATGAAGTGTAGTTAATTTACAATGTTGTGCTGATTTTTTTTTACACATATTAGAATAATTTCCACACACACATTGGTGTTCAGTGGTAATTCCAGTGACATTTACTTTTGGGAGAAAGATAAAAGTGAAAAAGACTACAGAAATGCAAGGTTTTGTGTGTGTTTGTGTGGAGTCTGTAATGATAGGAAGGAGATCTACCATCAGTGTTCAATAAATAATTTCAATAGTGCTGCAAATCTCTTGATATATGGTCCCTTTTATTATTTTTTGAATTACATTTCTGTTTTGGAAAAGTCTATACTGTGTAATTTGGCTATTATCTTATACTGTAGAAAAATTTTTTATATCCAAGGGGAAGAATGATTTATAAAGAGGGAAGGGGAGGTATTTAGTTAATACTAAATTATTTTCTGTATATATATCAATCATATAGAAAATACTGACTTGCTTTTGATCTTTTGAGATGATGAGCTTACATTTTATACAGTTGATCTTGGGGCATTAGGAGACTGGTGTATGAATAATTAAAATCATATATTTGAACTTAGAAAATGTTATGCATCTTTAAAAAGTAGATGAACCAAGCTTTCACTAATGGCTATGAAGATAATTTTATGAGTACCTGAAAGTGTGAGAGACTCCTTATCACAACTTTCATTCATATGTACACTCATTAATTAAACACACTTCTGTTTTCATTTTGGAAACTGACTTGTTTTCTTATTTTCATCATTTACTTGAGGCCGGGCATCTTCAACTCCTTGTGAAGCTCTGGGCTTCACAGGACAAGGGCAAGTGGGACCAGAGTTGAGAGTCAAGGTGCCTGGAACTCCTCTAGGTGCTGGGGCTGGAGCAGAGAACAACCCTCAACTGCAGTTCGCGAGAAACTCCATTCAGTAGGAAGGAAACGTGGCACCATCAGTTCTGGTACTGATGATGCTAAGGAGAAAACAGGTACAGCGGCCGATCTGAACTCTTCAAACATGGCATTTGGGGCCAGCTAACCATTTGTGGGGGATTGACAAAGGGTGCTAGTGGTGAAAAATCTGCCTGCCAATTCAGGAGATTCAAGAGACATGGATTCAATCCCTGGACTGGGAAGATCCCCTGGAGTAGGTAATGGCAACCCATTACAGTATTCTTGCCTGGAAAATTCTATGGACAGAGGAGCCTGGCGAGCTACAGTCCATGGGGCCACAGAGAGGCAGACACAACTGAGCGCCTAAGCACCCATACACACACACAACCCACCCCACAGTAGGAGGGCTGTGCTGGGCGTATGTGACTATTTATTAGCATTCCCGACCTCTGCCCACTAGGGGGCACTTGTGTTACCTCAGGTAGTGACAACTGCAAATGTCTATAGACCTTACCAACGTCTCCTGTGAGGCAACGTCACCCTCGGTTAAGAAATGCTGTGATAGAGGATGCCTGGAGGGTGTGGGGGTGTGGGGAACTGGTGTAGCTTTGGCTGGGCTCGTCAGGAGCTGCCTCTCCGAAAGTAGGGACTTTGAGTGAAAGCCAAGGAACGTGTAGGTGGCCCCTGAGGGAAGAAATCCAGCAAGTGCAAAGGCACTGAGGTAGGAAGAGCTTGTATATTAAGAGGGAGAAAGTAAGGTGTGTTCTAGTGTGGCTGAGGCAGAGTGAGTGAGGAAGACTGAAAAGAAATGAAGCTGGAGAATCGTGTGCCGGTTCAGGCGCTGATGCAAAGGGCTGTATAAATATATCTGTATGAATGTATCTGAGGAGAATCCCATTCTTGGAAATCAAAGCCTTTTGCTATCAAGAGTTAAACCTACAGATTACGTTTTAACATTTATTAACCTGCTTGGTTGATACTGTTCTAAGTTCAGATATAAAAATCCAGTTTGGTTGGGGTGACAGGAGAGGGTACCTGGGGGAAGGAAGGGGATGAATCCTGGCAGCGAAGGGCTTTTCAAAGCGCTGTGTGAGGGCGCCCAGGCCTAGGAAAGAGGCTCCTGAAAGAAGAGGGCCAAAGTTTGAATCACATGGGCCTGAAGGCAGCTCAACTCATTCTTTCTAGACTTACAGCTTGGAATCTGTGGAACGGAGCCATTGCTGCCTTCAGCTAGTTCACAATGGATTTTTAAAATAGTTACGTGTTATAATGTACATTTTTAGAAAATAATGCATCAAAACTATGATTCAGTGGACATTTTTTATGATGACTAAAATTTTAAAGTTAACCTAAAACTATTTGAGATAACAATAGCAAAAGGACAATGTGAGTATGGCAAAGGTTATGCAAATGTCTGAAGCCAGAGAGGCAATGAGTTAGATGAGTCGCCCCTACCTCCTGTGCCATGAACCAGTTTGGTCCAAGGCCTCTTAGGAACAGGGCCACAGAGCAGGAGATGAGAGAGAAAAACTTCATCTACTACTCTCCATTACTCCCCACAGATCACATTACAGCATGAACCATCCTTCCCAACCCATCCCTGGAAAATTTGTCTTCCAGGAAACAGGACCCTGGTGCCAAATAGGCTGGGGATTGCTAAGTTAGATCAACTGGGAACTCATTAGAATACAGATTTCCAGGCTCTGCTCCTAGAGATTCTGATTCAGTAAGAAAGGAATTTATTTCATGTTTGTTTAAATAACAGAAGGTGACTTTAGAAGTAAAAATTTGACAGCAAAGGATCTGAAAGAAAAGTTTTCTTTAGCAATGCATCACCAGGAGATTCATTTCCCCCTTTTCCTCCTCTTTTCCCAAACTAGAAAATTCTTAACATGCATGGGCCCTGTTGAAAAGAGCTTCAGTAGTAGAGTGGGTGTAGAGCTGATGAAAGGGAAGGAGCCAGTTCAGTAACCAACCACAATGACAGCAATAAAAATAATCATGTTCCTCTCCCAAAGTCTTCTCAAATTGTCTTTGTGCAGTTGTATGTACTAAACTTATTCCTCTTGAGTTCCCACAAAGAATAATTCTTCTCAAAGCCTCTTTGCTAGAAAAACCAATAGGATTAGAAAGTCAGTGGAAGAGATTAATTTACACTTAAAATTATTTTTTTCATTTCCACTCTTTCATTTTTATAAGGAATATTTTCAGAGCCCTTCAGTTCAGTTCAGTTCAGTCACTCAGTCGTGTCCGACTCTTTGCGACCCCATGAATCGCAGCATGCCAGGTCTCCCTGTCCATCACCAACTCCCAGAGTTTACTCAAATTCATGCCCATCGAGTTGGTGATGCCATCCAGCCATCTCATTCTCTGTCATCCCCTTCTCCTCTTGCCCCCAATCCCTCCCAGCATCAGGGTCTTTTCCAATGAGTCAACTCTTTGCATGAGGTAGCCAAAGTACTGGAGTTTCAGCTTCATCATCAGTCCTTCCAATGAACACCCAGGACTGATCTCCTTTAGGATGGACTGGTTGGATCTCCTTGCAGTCCAAGGGACTCTCAAGAGTCTTCTCCAACACCACAGTTCAAAAGCATCAATTTCTCAGTACTCAGCTTTCTTCACAGTCCAAATCTCACATCCATACCTGACCACTGGAAAAACCATAGCCTTGACCAGACGGACCTTTGTTGGCAAAGTAATGTCTCTGCTTTTTAATAAGCTATCTAGGCTCAGATGACACCACCCTTACGGCAGAAAGTGAAGCAGAACTAAAAAGACTCTTGATGAAAGTGAAAGAGGAGAGTGAAAAAGTTGGCTTAAATCTTAACATTAAGAAAACTAAGATCTTGGCATCTGGTCCCATCACCTCATGGGAAATAGATGGGGAGACAGTGGAAACAGTGTCAGGCTTTATTTTTCTGGGCTCCAAAACCACTGCAGATGGTGACTGCAGCCATGAAATTAAAAGATGCTTACTCCTTGGAAGGAAAGTTATGACCAACCTAAATAGCATATTAAAAAGCAGAGACATTACTTTGCCAACAAAGGTCCATCTGGTCTCAGAGCCCTTAGGTAGAAGGAAATTTAGTTATCATTCAGTACAGTCTTGTCATTTTATGGATGAGAAAGTAGGTGGAGAATATATTGTGTAGGTTTCATTCGCATCTTCGTTTTCTTTTTTGCTCTAGAGTTTAGATTGTTCCTTCTTATATTATATAACTCTTCTTAAAAGGGTTGTTGCCCTAGTAACTCTGACTCACAATGACTCTCCTGGGGTTTTTCTAACAGAAACATATATTCTTTCTTAAAGAGATGAGGTTCAAACCCATCAGGATTATTTCTATTTGAGACATGAATTGTTCAGCTCCCCTCACTCAATCCACTGCATTTTCCTGTAATTTTCATCTTTTTTGTGTCACTCTTCCTATTATAG